TAATAATAGTAATAATAATAATAATAATAATAATAATAATAATAATAATAACTTATGGGTCATCACTTAATCATAACTCATAAGTACCTTGTTCTGAATTAATGTTTTGAAGGAGTAAGAAGTTTAGATTTAGCATGTTTTAAGTTTTAATTATCATCGGTTAAAATAACAATGAACAAATTTAAGTTAAAAAAATGTAAGAGTTTTTAGTGATTATGTTTTCATTTATAGGTACTCATTAAATGTAAATATTTAATAATGTGAAGGGATGAAAATTTAATTTTATTAATTATTATATGTATTTGTTCAATTATTTAATTTATTACAGCTGTCTAATACACAGTTAAAATAATAATACTTATTAATACAGAAATAATAGATTAACCATTAAAACCACACCAATATTTTTTTTCTCGTCTTTAATTGCCTGAGTTGACCAATTAGTTTGCCTTGTAATTGCAAATTTGAAGTTAAATCAAAGATACTAAAGATTAGCAAAAAATGAACAAAAATCAAAGATACTAAAATCAAGGTAGGGAAGGCAAATCCCAAATCAAAAGCAGCTTCACCTAATTGGTCAAAGCTACACTATTGAAAAGACCAATGTTTTGTTTAGTCACGAAAATGCTAAATACGTTTAGTATTGGGAAAATCCAAAAATACCCAAAAGTTTCTTTAAATATCATGTTTGTCCCTGTATTTTTAATAAAGAAAAGTTTTACTTCTTCTCCTTAAACTGTATCCCTATGATTACAGATAACGTGTTCCCTAAATTATGAAACGTACTTGTTTTTATTATATGGATTATATTTTTGATCATGTAATTGTAATACATATTTAAGTTGTATAATAATAGATCTGTAAATTCTGAATCTTATATTTTATAACGTACGATCAATACTTTGCAAAACACCAAAGACAAACCCAGTTAATATATGCTTATTAATATATATATATATATTTTTTTTTTATAGAGCCAAGCATTGTATAGATATGCGATTACTTAAAAACAGATTATTATAGCTATATTTATTGATGATTATGCATTTTCGATATTCGTTATGTTAACATTTGAATTTGTCATAAGAAAATTAGATAAACACTATTAAGAGCACAAATAACATAAAAAAATAACAAAGGGAAGACACTGAAGATAATTGTATAGAAAATTAGTGTGTCCCTTTTCCTCTTTTCCTCTTAATCGAGAAAAATAATAATACATTGAGAATTGAAAGTTTAATTTTCTCATTAATTTTAGAGTTTATTTTCTCTTTAATTACAATAAAACTCTTCACCTTACGGTTACATTTGATAAATAATTTATAAATGAATTAAATTTGAGCCATTGAATATATTTAATTGCCGACCGTTAGTCTTCTATTACTCAACGTTGATGCTTGATAACTCTTGATCTTTCGACTTTTTTCCCTAAACAAGTGTACACTCAGGCAGGTCGAGTCGCACGAGCACATATTGGACAACTAATGAATTTTTATTACCTCCGGAAAAAGCCATCCAACACTAAAAAAAAGAAAATAAAAGCTACAACTTTGCGTTTCTTTAGTCTTAGAGATGGCAACGGGATGAAGCATGACATAGAATAATTTATCTTCCCTATCCGCCCTCAATAATCTTCCCTATTCTCTGCCCCATCACCGCTTAAAAAGAGGATGAGTTGGAGTTAGAAATTCTGAATTAGTAGAGTTCTTCGTCACATATAATTATGTATTTTAAAATTATAACAACTTAAAAAAAATAGAGAATAAATTAACTATAAATTTAGACCAACATAAAAAATTCCATAAAGTAAATTGAATTCTAAACATATACAAACCAAATCTTAATTACAGTTAATAATTATTGTCTTTTTTAAGTAAAAATTATGAATGCGGCGGGGACGGAAAGTACTTCCCTCATCCTTGTCTCACCATAACTTAGGAACAAAATTTTATTCTTCATTCCCAATAATTATCCCTCATCTCAGTCTCAACTTCTGTCCTGTAAGAAATGGTGATTAGTGAATACTGCAATCTTTATTTGGTCCCGACTTTAAAGTTTCAAATATATCGAAATTACCAACGTCCATCATGACATTACAAAGTAGCAAGTGAAATTAGCATGCAATTGGAACACATCTACATATATATATATATATATTTTTTTTTTTTTCTTTTGCTTAATACTAGGAGTCAGGTATTCATGGCAAACAACAAAAGCAGAGAAAAACTTTTACTTTTTAACGGGATTTTTTTTTTAATATTCTCTCTTTTTTAAAACACTAATTTTTTCAATTTATCAATAGTTAAATCTATATTAAATTTAATTAAAAATTAAATTAAATTAAAAAATAATACAAATCTAATAACTACTAAATAAAAAATACTAATATTCTGAAAAGAATACGGAACACCAAAAAATTTCCCTTTTTAATATGCAAAGACTTTTGATCAGCAAAAAATATGCAAGACTTTCACAACACCCCGAAGCTTCAGGTCCACTATCCCATCTATTTTTCAATTATTTGATTTTTCTTCTTTCGCTTTCACTCTCTCATCTTTAATCTTAAATTATTGCCTATTTTTCTTAATCTTAAATTTTTGCCTTTTTTTCGTCTTTTTTTTTTTTTTTTTTTTTTTTTTTCTGTTTTTTCCCCGTCCATTTCTTGGAAAATATTTATCTGTTCAAAGAAAACGCGTAATTCACTTCTCAGTTAGATATCTCATATCTGAAAAGATTTTTCTCCCACTAAAATATCTCTCTCTCTCTCTCTCTCTCGGTTTTCATTTCCTTTGGTGTGTGTATGTACCATGTCATGATATTGCAAGTACTCTCGTGTTTTTTTTTTAGATTGAGTGATTGACCATGACTTGTTTCTTCTGTTTCTTTTGCCAAATTCTTCATCTGGGTTTTTGAGTTTTTGGGATTTGAGTTAGTTTGATCAAGGTAAAGTTTAAGTTTTTGGTTGTTTTCATTCTTAGTCCATCTATATGCAGTGATTAGACTACAGGAAAAAGAAAAAAAAAAAAAAAGAAAAAGCACAAGGGAATTCAAGAGAAAGAAACAGAGAAGTGTTTGTAAATTTTTTTATATCAATTCTCAAGAGTTCAAATTTCATTATAACCATCCTTGAATTCATTGTCTTTGCTCAAGGAAGATTCAATTCCAAACTTTTCCTTGGTGTTTTATCATGTCTTAGCTTTTTTCAATCTTGGGACCAATATTCTAAACTTGGTTCCTTTGAATCAATAAATTGCTTTCCTTTTTTCTTTTCCCTGCTTCAAGTCTTTTGTTGTTATTTGGGACTTAAAACGAAAGTCTTCAAAGACCCCTTTTTGTTTACTTTTCCTTTCAAGTTTGTTCTTTCTAAACAAGCTATTTTAGTTGAATTCAACTTCTTCTGAAAAGGAAATTGGCCAAGCGATTCGGGTTTCGTTCGGTTTTTAGTTTAGGAATTCATTTGATGAAACTAGTTTAGGAATTCATTTGAGTCTTTCATCAATTTAGTGTTGATTCTGTTTTTCTTGAATGGAAGATTTTAAATCTACCATCCAAACCCATGAAGGAAACCAGCATATTATCGCTGCAGCTTTTCACTTAACCAAGGCATTAGTGGCAAGTAATTACTTGCCAGAGGACATGAAAAAGATCTTCACTGATCTTGACTCCCACTTCTCCGCCATGGCCGTGATCACGGAAACCAAAGGCCGAAAATTCACGGACCTCGAGCAGCGCCTCAAACACGCGGAGGAAGAGGTCGTGGCTTGGATGTCGAATCCACTTATGGTATGTGACTCTGGCCCCCATGAAGCTTCCCAGCACTTCAAAGTCATTGATGAAATCCACTCCTTGATGGAAAGCCTCAGAAATTCGCCAGCAGCAGATGAGTTTGGGAAGCCGACGGAGCTTCTTCGACGAGCTGAAAGCCTTCTGCAGACCGCGATGTCAAGGCTGGAAGAAGAGCTCATCCACATTCTCCATCACCACAAGCAGTACTTCGAGCCCGAGTACATGTCTTTTCGGTCTTGTGGATCGGATGATGTGTACGATGAGTCCTTCGTTTCGGTTGAGGAAGAATCACAGGACGAAGCCTCCCGAAGAAACAGCACAGGCAGTGAATTTGAGGACCATCTTGTGGACTTGATCCATCCGAATGTGGTTCCTCATCTCAAGTCCATTGCAAAGATGATGTTTACTTCGGATTATGGTCAGGAATTCTGCCAGGCTTTTGTCAAGGCAAGGAAAGAGGCCTTGGAGGAGTATTGGACTACTTTAGAAATGGAGACATTTAGCATTGAGGATATGCTCAGAATGGACTGGAAAAGCTTGAATTATGAGATCAAGAAATGGAATTGGATCATGAAGATCATCATCCGAGTCTACCTCCCGAGCGAAAAGCGTCTTTGTGATCAGATACTAGGGGATTTTGGATCAGTTAGTCCTTACTGCTTTGTTGAAACCTCAAAGGCTTCGATGGTGTATCTGTTGACCTTTGGTGAAGCTGTGGCAATGGGAGACCATCGGCCCGAAAAGTTGATTCGGTTGCTTGACATGTACGAAATTGTGGTGGATCTTCTCCTTGACATAGACAATTTGCTGTTTGAAGAGGCCGGGTGTTATGTTCGAATCGAGTTCCACGAGCTTTTAGCAAAGTTAGGAGATTGCTTGAGAGCAACATTTGTGGAATTCAGACGCGTCATCGCCTCCAACATGTCAACCACTCCTTTCCCTGGAGGCAGCATTCACCCTTTAACAAAGTATGTCATGAATTACATCAACACCCTTGCTGAGTATGTTGACACACTCAATGTTCTTCTCAAGGATCAAGATGTAGAAGAAGAAGATCCCGATTCAATTTTCGAAATGCATAATCACACCAAGGACAGCTCATCCTCGACATCTTGTCCCACGGCATACCATTTTCGATCCATCACATCCACTCTTGAATCCAACCTCAACACCAGGTCCAAATTGTACAAAGATGGTGCTTTGCAGCTTGTGTTCTTGATGAATAACATCAATTACATTGTCCAGAAAGTTAAGGGCTCGAAACTCGGGGTCTTCTTCGGAGACACTTGGATTAGAGAGCACATTGCCAAGGTTCAGCAGCAGGCAACAGGCTATGTGAGGATATCTTGGAGTTATGCTCTCTCTTTGATTAGATCACATGATGGGCATGCCCTTCCAAGGGTCACTTTCAAAGAAAGGTGTAGGAGTTTCAGCATTGCCTTTGAAGAGGTGTACAGAAACCAGACAGGGTGGCGTGTCCCAGATCCTCAACTCCGGGAAGATCTTCAGATCTCGATCTCGCAGAAGGTGATCCACGCTTATTGGAATTTCACTGGGAGAAACTCCAATGACGAGAGGCACATCAAGTACACTGCTGATGACCTTGAAAACTTCCTTTTGGACCTCTTTGAAGGGTCATCTAGATCACTACAGAATTCACGAAGAAGATGAGGCCCCAAATCGTCTTCAGCCATAGCATTATTTCCTTCTTTTTTAGAAACAATTTTCTCTTTTACCTTGTAATGAATTGTTGTACATGTATTTCTTCAAAAAAAAAAAAAAAGTTGTAGATGTAATGGTGATTGTATCTCTCCCATACCCCTAATGTCAAAAGAATCACATCAAGAATTATGTTGTATGATTGTTGTGCCTGCAAAATGTTTATTCTTCTAGGACAATATGAATCAATTTGTTCAAAAGAACAGGAATGCTTTGCCCATAACCGTTCTTGGTAAGCTCTCTGTGTTTCTGTGTTAACAAATGAAGTTGGGGCGTAGCCTATGTGGCTCAGGCCTCGAAAAGTGCCTGAACTCCATCCGTGTGAATTCGTGAGAACGCCTCAAAGTAAAGCCTAAGCCAGTTGTGGTTGGGGTAGATTTTCCAGTCTGATTATGGGTGGTGTTTAAAGAATTTACTTACTATCTCTTCAATCAGTTACAACTTTTTAAGAGAAATGGTTGCATAGCTACTATATCAACAAACTCACAAGGATTTCGTCCCTGAGATTTGGAAAGGCAAATAATGCTTAAATAAATAAAAACATCAAATTCAATATTACCATATAAGTTCTTTTTCTGATTTGTATATGGATAAAAAACAATGCATATTAATGTAGACTGTAACTATTTTTTTTTTCTGACTTGAAATTAAATTGTTCAAGCATGAATTCACTATTTTGACAAACACAAGAGTACATTCATGTCCTGAGATCACCCAGAAAAAAAAAATGATTTATTTCCAGAAAGTCAAATTTTGTTGTTTTGAATATTGACTTGGGTTGACTTAAATATGGTCCACAAATATGCAGGTAACCAACTAAGCAGTCTTGTCCTTTCTTTTCTATTCATAATCCAAAAAAACAAAAAAAAAAGTATAGTTGATTCAAGCATTAAATGCTAAAAGTGATGCTTTATTCTTAGGCATTTGAAAGGGTTGGCAATTACAACATCACATGTATGAATCCAGAGATTTTATGTCTATCAGATACAATGTTTTAGTTTGTGATAAGCCTAATACAATGAACATGATTTTTTTTTTTTTTTTTGGATGAAGTCATTGTTTATCATTTTCATTTTCTTTCCTTTCTTTTTCAGTGTTTCTCTATATGACATTGTTTATCGTTTTCTCATTTAATATGAAATTGAAGAATATGCCTGGACATTTGACCAATGAATTAAATTGGCTTCCAGAAGATAGGGACTTGACTTTATTTATAAATCAAGAGCAGCCCTTTTATGACCCTTCCAAATTTTTGAGTATGCATGCATGCATGTATTTATGTATGTATGTATGTATGTATGTATGTATTAGCAATGAGCAATTTCTAATGTACAAAGAACATCAGATATAAAAAAATCCGATGCTTCCCCCTCCTTTTTTAAGATCCACAACTCAATCAATAACAACACACACACACATATATATATATATATATAAAGTATATTACGTAAGAACATGTTATTGGCTTAATAACATTCGTTATACGCTGGAAAAAAAGACCTTATCATCGATCAAAAACAATAAAAATCTCTTTCTTCCTAAACAAGTAAAGATTAAATTAGTAGTGAGCAACGCTAAAGATACACTAATAAAGAGTGAGCTTCACAATATGAGTCCACAATTAAACTTCACTCGATTATTAATGTATTGAACACCGGTTACACCACCAATATTTTCAAGTATTTTTAATATTTTAACGTCGTATATTTGTTACACTTTTAACTAAATGATAAAGATTCACGAAAAAAGATATTTAGGCTCTAGTTACTTGTAATTTTTTCTCCTAGATATCCTCTACATGATTTCGATCAATACATGTACACAGTTTTTGATAAGACGAATAATTACCACACAAAAAAGATAAGATGAATAAGAGAGAGCAGAAAAGTAATTCAGACAGATAATTACCACACAGAGTACTAGGACCCAAATTGATATTTGTGATCTACATTCTAAAGATGTCATCCAAAGGTCATTTCCCAACAACTTTTTTTCAAAGACATTTTCGACCAAGTATTCTTAAGGTCAAAAGTTCTAATTATAATGAGCTTACTCTCTACCACAGGCACAAAAATCACGCTTAAACTTGTCCAATAGACTTACAAAATGGGTTGTTACTAAAACTTCTCCAAAAGGAAACTTCATAAAAGTCATTTCCATCATGGGTGTTGTTCACTAAAAATTTTGCCAACTGTTTTTGGGGTCAAAACTTGTGATAATAACATTGCTATGTTCTTTGTACCTCATGCAAGAGACAGAACGTGAATTTTTCCAAAATCCAAAAGACAAGAAAGTGGGCAAGTATCCTTTTCAAGTAGATGTTTCTTTAGAAAAAAGATTAAAGCTTTTTGACATTTTTCACATAAGATAAAGTAGGTTACACATAATCAAGGTTAATTTGACTCTTATGGCTCCTACAAACCCCATTCAGTCAGTGGGATTGATTTCTTCAGCTGACCAGGGATGAGTCACCCCTTAATACCAAGTAATCTAGGCTTTTTTGCATGGAACCCCCTGAACTATTCACGTTTGGCAACTGAGTCCCTAAATTAAAAATTTTTACAATCAACCCTGTCACGTGCCTCTCACGTGGGCACCTTATCGGGGGTTAAATTATAATTTAACAAGAAATTATGCTCTTTTAAATAAAAAAAAAACTGAAACATAAAAAAAAAAAACAAAAAAAAAAAAAAACAAAACAAAATATGAAAAGACACAGAAACCCTAGCCCCCATCCCCCATCTCAACGCTTTCTATGTTCCCAACCAACGGCATTGAGCCACCGGAGAGATCCATTCCAGCATAGTTCCCATTTCGGCGTTCATGGCTCAGGAGGTCCACGATTGCGACGATCCGCATCTGGATCTCTTGCGCGAGTTCTTTTTTGTCGAGTCCAGCCCCGTCTCACCACCGCCAGCGCGATTCTTCGTGCGTCCCTTTTAGCCGAGCCCAGCCCCGTTTCACCGCTGCCGACGCGATTCTTCTTGCGTGCGAGTCCCTTCTTCTTCTTCTAGTCTTTGCTCATTTTCGGTTGTGGAGGAAGGCCACCCTCCTCCGATTGATTCAGATTCCACCATTGAAGACTCTGACAAGCTTCCCTTCGAGTGATGTCACTACTTTCTCCACCTAATTTACTTTACAGTTACAGACCCATCTAAAAAATCTAAAACAAACAATTCAGAAATTTGAGAACTCTAATATTGGTGGAGCAAATTCTCCACCTAAAGGCTTTTTTTGCTTCTTTCTTTCTTTTTTTTTTTCCAAGTTGATGATTCTGATTTGGGCAAGAGCCTGTGATGTTGAGATTTAAATTTTTTTTTTTTTGATAATTGAGATTTTAATGTTACTTCTAAGTATTCACAGGGAAGATTTTGGATGAGGGAATGGACAGATTTGGTGGTTGAGCATTCGCCGGCAGATTTTTTTTTTTTTTTTTTGATGTTTTAGTTTTTCTTTTTATTTAAAAGAATACAATCTCTTATTAAATTATAATTTGACATCTGATAAGGTGCTCACGTCAGATCCACCTGACAACAACTGCGTTTAAATTTTCAGGTGTCATTAATTGGACTTATCACGCAGTAGATTTTGAAGTTTAAGGGGTTGGTTGTAAAATTTTTTAGCTTATAAATTGAGTTGTCAAACGCTAATAGTTCAGGAGGGTCGTATGCAAAAAAGCCGGTAATCTATTATTGAGTCAACAATTATGTTTAGAAAAATTATGTGGCAGGGCATAGAAAAATACCATACTGGTAGGATAAAATTCTGAACTATTGAATCACTTAAGAATCGTATTTACCCCATAAAAAAAATCATATTTTAGTTAAAAAAAAGTGCGACATTTTAATGGAAAACTCGACAATTTAAAATCGTATCTTACTAGTAAAATATGTTTTCATATCTAATGGTAGAATTCTCCCAATGATAATAACATCATTAGCACAATGATTCAGTGCTTCATTCAAATCATGTTACGTGTCCCGTCTACTCTTTTTCATATTTATAGTGTGGACAATTACCAGACAATAGACGACTTGTACGCAAGTAACTATTGGACTCGGTAGTATTTTTCAACAAATTGTGCTTTAATCTCAAATATTAGTATCCAAATTCTCCAAAAATGATGGCTTTAGACGTCTCCACAGCATATATATCATTTCTCGCTGTCCTTTTATTTGTTTGTGTACACAGAACTAATCATTCAATAATTGCTAACCTTAGATGAAAAATCTCAATTTTAGTTATTATACTTTGAAAAAATAGGGAGGTAATCTCTAAACTTCTCTCTTGAGTTGTCCTCGCGCCTGGACCCTTGCGCAGAGCGAGGTAAGTAAACAGTCTCTTGTTAGCCTAAGTTATAAGGCTAGAGAAAGGCCGAATGAATGCATTTCTTCTTCGTACCGGGAATCAGGAAATATGCCTCTGCTATACTTCTGAAGTGCAATTATAAAGTAAATAGCAAGAGAATTAAATACCATATTTTCCAACCACAAAAAACCTTAGACATACAGAAATGTCTTTTGAGCTGGGATATCCTTATGTAAGGTTCACTTTCCTGGTCAGAAAAGGGTCAAGAACTAATGACTGAACGAACAAGTGAAACGGAGTTCACAACGGAAGAGTGATGACATGCCATGTCGGACAGGTGAGATCAAATAGATGATAAGTCCTAAAACAACTGGGAACCCCTATCTCCAACCGATGGAAGAGGTTAAGGATTTGGTGGAAGAGGAAGAGGAGCAGCAACCCAAAGGCAAGAGACGGCATAGCTCAGGTAGAGCTAATAGTTCCTGAACTGCCTCATTATTAATCCTAGCCGGGTTAGAGCCTTACATAGATAAAGTTCCATTTTGATAGAGAGAGTTACCTTCTCACTACAACTATGAGTCACATGAGGGAAATTTCAAACCGCATTTACGGGGTGAAGGACTTCGAGCTGAGACTTATTTAAATACCAAGCTTGTGAACTATCCCCCACCCTATCAGAGGTTGACTTGGAGATTGACAACCATAATATTAGTAATCCATAGCCTAACAGAACGCGGCAGCGAGGAACAACCCGTCCATATAGCTAGTGGGGAGGATGGCACTACTGACAAAGACCGTCCGGCATTGCTTAGATAACAAAATCCGTTATTCCTTCACGATAAGCGGGTTCTTTCTAGGACCGATAGTTCAATTCAAGCGTATCATAGATCAAACTCTTTCAATTTAAGTCAAGTTTGTTGTAAGGTTAAAACCCCTTTACTAGTAGAGGCAGAACGAAAAATTGGAAAGCTTCCCAGAAAGCAATAGTCTCCATGTAAATCTCTTCTTGACCAGGCCAGGCCGAATCAGGCCACCCCTTGGGATGGGAATGGCCAGCCCACATGCATCATTTGATGATTGGTAATTCCATTGATCTTCTTTTGCTTTTCAGTTCAATTCAATGGCAAAATTGCCATTTGATACATAACATATCTATAAACTTTGTTGAAACTCTCATTTTTAATCCATTAGGTAAAAGATTTAAGGGATGATTGGAAAAAAAAAATGAAAATTCTGTGGTTGTATATTGAAAAAAAAAAAACTGTACAGTAATGTGTACTATTTTCCACTATTAGATCACATGAAAATCAAATTAAATTATGAAAAAATGTAAATGACTTATTGAAACTCGATCAAGATCTGACGGTTGAAGTTATTTTTTCCTTTTTTTTTTGCACCGTACCCATAGAAGAATCTCTTGAATCTTGGGGGCTATTTCTTTTGAACTTAAACTTTAGGGACTAAACCAAAACTTCCACAATAGTATAGGGACTAGTTATAATGTAAGAAAAACAATCCATTTAGAACAAGGAAATCAAGCACAAGCCGGATTGAGCTCAGATTTTTCCTTAATATGTCCTCTTTTCATGTCCCCCAAGTAAGATTATGTCACGTCAATTGGAATTATTTTAATTATCATGACTTTTTTAATTAACGTGATGAGAAATTTTAATTGATGTGGCATTTTAATTAACGTGTCATGATATTATTAAATGGACATGAAAGGAAATAGAAATAAGAAGACACAAGAGTCGGTTCCCCAGAAGCCTCATGGCTTTATCATCCTTGCATTATGTGTAGCATATTTAGATGAGAACAGTCACAATCACAATATCAAAGAGCACCCAGACCAAAACAATCACAAGCAATTCTTTCTGCAGCAATAAGACCGGAATAGATTAAAGCATCATTATGCAGTTTTTCACAAGGCAGACGAGAAACCCATAGCCTTGTTTTTGACAAGAGTATTCAAAAGAATATCCTGAGCCCGATTTGGACTAATGACCTTGCTTTTTCCCATCAATCATAATTGTCAACAGAAGTCAACGGGTCTTGACTAGGCTGAAAATTAACATCAAAGTTGTATCCCAAAAGTCATAACCAATTACCGGACATTTTCTGTCCCCCACCTGCCATTTTATACCTTGACAAAAGGGCCAGAAAACATACTTATATAGGAATCAAATCCCTATGTGCTGATAGAACTTGATTTGTTTGACAAGAACAGTAATCGTCACGTTTAACTCCTTTGACATGATTCTCAAAGCTTTCTTTGATTGATGTAAAGCTGTGTATGTCACAGTGAACAAGGAAAGTTGTTTATCGTCACTCAAGTTGAATCGATATTAGAGGTGGCGCCGTGGTGTAAGCCCCACAATGTGGGCCCAACCCACGGCCTGAGTCGGGAGGAAGAGGATTGCTCATCAGTATAACAGATTCAAAAATCAGAAGTTTCTCAAAAGAATTTTCTTTGGATTATAAGCATAATGGCATGGATGCTAAAGGCCAAAGATTATTTTGTTATCACCAAATGAGCCAGCTAAAGACCGCACTTTAGCCGAAAACATTTCAGAGAAACTTAAAACTGGAAAGAAAGGCAAGAGCAAAGATAATCTAAACAGTATCACAGTAGAAAATTCGGGAAATATGGAGTGAAAAGATCAGACATACAAGAAGAATCCATATTGGCAAAGCTTTAGTTTAGTATCCACTAAACTAGCCAAATACAGTTCTCATTATGGTAAAAACCAATAGTGTGCTTACGTAAATATACTGTAAGAATGACATGCTAAATAAATTAGTGCTTTATACGTATGCTTTGTTACCACTGGCAGGTGAATAGTTACGGAAGAACAATAAGAAGCTCCAGCCCTTTATTTCTTTCCCAAGATTTTTTGTAGAACTCTCTTCGCCATGGATAATCGCGATGTCTCTTTTTTACTAATTCATACACTTACGAGCAGCATTCTGAACTTTAACGAAAATCAGCCTCATCTAACCAGTCCAATTCATCCACTTCCCCCTCATCTCTCCTGCCATTTTTTATTTCCTAACCAACTTGAGGAATCGAGAATCCTTTATTTTAAACTTCGGCAGAAATCATAATAACAGATAGCCACACTCAAGTATTTTGTGACAAAATTTGCTCACTTCCACAACTATGAAACACTTGGACTAAATGAAATTGGTATACAATATTGAATCAACTGGTAGAAAAGCATGTCTAGTTGCAAGAATAAATCATGAGTTTTGCATTATATTCCAATAATTTAATGGCTGAGGATCAACCTTCTGTAAGACAATTTACATTCCTAGAACATCAACAGGTTCAAAGAACATTGTACAACGAAAACTTCAAGCAGAAACCGAGTCAAGAAATAAAACGCTACGCCCAACATTATAGACACTGGAAGAGCTGGCAAAGCTTTCTGGTACAAAGCCAATAGCATCAAAGTGACGCCAAGACCAGCTATAATAGCGAGATAGCACGCATAAACTGTCATATAGTCATACAGTGCTGCTCTCCCAACCAAGACACTGTAGAAGATGAAGTCTCCTAGGCCAAGCTTGATTGCACCAGATGACCCCAACCCCATCCCCTCCAGCAACAAATTCTCACTCGTCATAGCACTTTCCCGTTCAACCTGAGGGGCATTCATTCCACGATCAAGCAATGGAGCAGCAAGCTCCGAGTCCCTCTCCACAACCCGCCCCTCCTCAGCTCTCACCAAGCTCGCAACACTATCTCCACCGGGACTTGAATTTGAATCCGAAATACCATCGGCGTTCAGGTTGGACAACGCGTTATTCTCATTTCCAACCAAAACAGAATTGTCATTCAAATTCGGGTTAGCCCCAGTATTCAAATTCTCATTCCTCCTTTCTCTCCACACCCTCCTTTGAGTCACACCACCACTTGTACCAGAATCATTATAACTCACTGGCCTAGGCTCATAAACCAGTGCAGGAATATCTTCATCCCTGGAAATCGCAAGCTCAACCAAGAGCCTCAAAGGCCCGACGGGCAACAAAACCGCGGCGAGATCATACAATGCCATGGCAACCAACAGCACCCAAGTAGTCCATTCAGGCAAAAGAGTAAACCAATAGGCAACCAACATTCCAATAACAACTAAATACCCTTGTGTGACAAAAATCGCCATTTTTGACATGAAAACAGACAAAACCCCCACAACAGCAAAATTGAACAAAGCCACCAAAAATGTAATGCAATCAATTGGGATGTCAAAATCCTCAATCAAAAATAGGGCAATTTCACCTCCCAAAAACCCCAAAACGACGAAGGCTGAAAAACCCATGTAGTATTTCAAGAACTTAGTGCATCTCAAATAGAAAAGCAGAACTAAAACGAATGTGACGACAGTTACAACGGCCACAAAAACAAGGGAGTTCAAGAGGGCACCTACGAATTTGTCCCAGGTTGTGTCCGAGGTTGTTTCTGAGTAGGCTATGGTGGCTATGGAGCTCACAGTTGTCGAGGAATCCGAGGTGAGAATTGAGACTAAAATGACCACCATGAACATGCAGATTGAGACTGGCGTTATGATCCTGATGATCTCTTCGCCTAAGGACTCGAGAACGCTTCTGGGTCTCGGGATTTGGGCCATTGGGTGTGAGATAATTTGATCAATTTTGGTTCTTGGCAGTGTTTTGGTTGATGGGTCGTTTCAGTGTTGGTCGTAACGGTTGGGTTTTTTTCTTCTCTGAGCAGTCTGAAATTTTGCGATTTTGGGTCTTTATCCGACGGCTTGCTCAATGTCGAGTCAAATATAATGATACGATAATGAATTTCAACCGTCCATCTTGGCTACTCTGATTGCCATGACCATTATTATTTCCAAAAAAGAAGGGGGAAAAAAAATTAGTAAACATTTGGTTTATGGATTAGAATCATGTGATTATAATTATTTTTGATTTACGTGTATTTTTTATGAGAAAAACACTTGAAGCGAACTATGAACTATGATTCAAATCATGATTTGAATCCTCTAACCAAACATTATATTAGTAAGGGCTGCTTTTATCGGTAGAGATGTCAATGAAGTATTTGGGCAACATAGAAGGGGATCACTTTTGTCGGGGTGCTTAAAACTATAGGGTGCTTAAAACTATCGGATTTTCTGTCATGTGACAGAACAAAAACTCAATAAAAAAAATTAGTAGATGTTTAGTTTATGAATTAAGAACTATGATTTAGAATCATTTTCGATTTACGCATATTTTTTATGAGAGAAAATATTGTAACGAATCACAAATCATAATTCAAATCATGGTATGAATTTATCAACCAAACGCAAATTACCTTGAAATACTGATTATGGTTTTTTTCCTTCTCCTTTTTGTTCTCTCTCTTTCTCAGCCACTTCTCTTTTCTAATTTCCTTTTCTCTTCTCTTTCTTCACCTCTCTCACTCTCTAATCCAGTCGTCGACGCTAACCCCTCCACACCACTTCGTCTCTGGTTCTATGGCACATATCTTGCGCATCATCGAAAGATCCCATCGTTGCAACATCGCCTATCGCTGTCGACGAAATATTAGTGCCGCTGAGAAGGAAGAAGTGCAGACATCATCCTCATCAAATCTTGCACATCTTTGGTGCAAAATCGTGACCAGATCCGTCATGAGATTCTATTTTTGATAGATCAAAGAGGGACGATGCGAGGACTGTATAGAGATTAGAGATCCGCCATAGCCATCTTCATCGCCATCTTCATGCATCTCTGCCATCCCCGGTGTTTCTTTTTTTTATTATTATTTTCAGATTTGTTTGTGTTTTTTCCTAACTTGTTTGTGATTTTCTTTTTTTCATGACTAAGTTTGTAAATTTTTTGTTTTTTTTTTGTTTTTGTAAATTTTGTATAGTTGTGGAGAATTCTGTGGATTTTTTGTGTGAATATTTGTGATTTGAGGGGTTTTTTTTTGGTGATCTGGTTTTCAAATGTGACTGCCAGCCACCTAAAATGGCGGATGAGGGTGGTTACCGGCTTGTGGTTATTGCCGGCTGGTAACGGGTATCTTAGTTATACCGACTAGTATCTCTAGCGGAAACCGGCCAGTATCTCAAGTGGCAGCTGGTATCGTGGGAAATACTAATGGCAACTTGTAATTTTTTTTCCTAGTATTCTGGCGACATTGATGGCCGGACTAAGACCAATCATGACGGTTGCCGATTGAGATACCGTTGGTAACCGGCCGGGATACCACCATTACTAGGTGGTATTGTCATTGGATAACATTGGTATTACGGTTGGATACCGGCAATCATCGGCCGACAACTGGCAACCTTTGGCGGCCGATATCATGGTGGTTATTGGTCGGTAACTGCCGACTGATAGTGGATACCAATTGGTATCAACTATGGATGCCGATCGGTATCATGGTGGATACCAACTAGTATATTGAGGGTATATTTGGTATTCTAAATATAGTGTGTTGATGTGGCTGTGGTATATTGTGCAAAATTTTTAGCCTTTGGACACATGCCAATCCAAGCCTGAAACTTGTGGCAGTTGTCTATAAAGTCCAATGTCAATTGTGATGGGCCGACAAGGGGATAGGCCCATATGTACTTCGAATCGTGATTGGCTTGGCCCATTAAAACCGTGTCGTGCTCGGGGCAACCCAAGATTTAAAATCTTAGGCCCAGTCCGGCCCATAAGCCCAGGTCCATTGGTGCTTGTACTCGTGCCTTTATTGTGCTTGGCACAATGGATCTTTAGACCGGCCTATTAAACCATGGGCAATTTTTAAAAATACCCCTTGAAATGGAGTCCACATTTATTTCTACCCCGTAACATTAACTCATATATTTATACCTTTTAGACTATAACGAGTCAAGTAGTAGAGTTTTTTAAAAGGGTGCTTTTAATAGGACGAGTATTTAAGGAGGTAAAATCTATAATTTTCTCTTAAAACCATTGAGTCATTTAAAATTATTTTTTTGAACAGCTTTCAAATAAAATATAATTTAAATAAAAATATAATTTCATATGCTATTACTAAATAAAAATATAATTTCATATGCTATTACTAAGAAAAAAATAAAAAAATTGATGCCATCATTGTCATAAGTACTAATTTATAAATAAAAATTTCATTTTGTTTAAATTAGTACAGAGAAGATGAGACAACTAACATAAAGGGATAACAAATTAATACTAACGATAAATTATTGTAACAACAATTTGTATGCTTGTTTAGAGATATGTAAAATTATTAATAAAAAGAGAAATTTATATTTGTCGTGTCGGCCCATCGTGCTCAATGGGTCGTGTCGTGTTTGTGCTTATTGTCATGTCGTGTCGTGTCAGGCTCACGTGTCAAAAACTGTGACGACGTAGCTGAGTGGCCATCACTGAAACTAACTTTAACACATACTTTAAAAAATTTGTGGGACATTTTAAAAAAAAATGTTATATAGAATGCTGTAGCATTTTTTTAAAATGCTGTATAGAATGCTGTAGCATTTTTCTTTAAACTGACTATAACGACATAAATTTTGGTTTCCACTTTTGAGCACAACAAAGTATTTATACTTAAAAAAAAATAATTCCTTTTCTAACGAATAAATTTACATATAGGTACATTTTTGCTTCTCAAAATCTTGTTAGCTTACACAAACTTAACAATCATACTATAAACTTCCAAAACACAAGTTCATAGACATATTCAATAAAATCTTTTAAAACTTTAAACTATTGCAGAAATAACTGCGTGTGGTATCCATTCCCCGACCTCTACTCTGCTCATCCGCTGCCTCGCCATCAGTCCATCAGACATTATGTGCAGGTTGCTTACCTACAATATAAATACTCTGAAATGAGCTTTCGCTCAGCAAGTAGGAACTATTACTCGCAAAATAACTGAAAGTTCACATGAATGATATTCATGAACTGATTATGCTGAATTATGATTTCTTATCATAGATTTATTATCTGGTCTTATCTTTCTTACTGACGGGCCCGAGTGCTCGTACCATTGCACGCGATATACGGGACGTGAGGTTTCATAAGACCCCCATCGACTCTGTAATTAAAACTAAACTAAACTAAATGCCTCACTTGGGCCAGGGTACCTCTCATCTAGGAGGCTCTAAATTATCTCTCATCTAGGAGGTTCTAAAACTAGATTACCTCTCAATTAGGAGGTGGTACGGCACTCAACTGAAATTATTCTTATAAGTTCCTCTTGACTTATTAAGGTGTATGCAGTATGACATATCATATCATACTATAACATGGAATGTACTCTAATACATATAATTCATGTGTACTGTTTATTTTAAAATCTATTTATACTATAGGCGAGATTCTTACTTACCTATTTTAAGAAGTCGAATCCTCTATTCGTCAAAGAGTTCGTTCTCTTTCTTTCTTGTTTATGAGAATGAACACCCACTAAGAGTGTGAGATTAACTATCACTTGCTATTCTATTTTAGCAAGCTTGTAAGAAAGTCTAACTTCTCTATTTATGGCTCGCTTTCTCTTTTCCTATCTTAAGGATTGTAAAACCTTGTTTCTAATTTAAAGATTAGATTTATTAAATCCTGATTATCTTACTTTTTATTAGTAAAGTCTGAAATCAACATACTTTTCTGAGATTATACTTCGAGTTCTTCAACGAACTCCTCTGTTCAACACCAAAACTGTTTTAATAGTTATGTAGTGTTTTTCTAAGAAAATAGTTTAAAACTTATATTTAGAACTAAAACCAAGTTTAGCCTCAAATTCTAGAACTAAAACTAGGTTTAACTTTAAATTCTCAAACTAAATTTCGACGGAGTTTCGCCTTATTTTCTGTGTTTCCCGAGCTATCCTTAGCTCGTTTTATCTGTTACTTCATCTTCTAAACTAACAATCTTTCTCACACAATTTAATCAACTTAGGAACCATACTCTAGGGTTCCATCTAATTTCTCACAAGGATTTTCATAACCAAAAGTTGCTAGAAACATAATCTAACAACCAAAATTCAACCTTTAATCACTAAGCTTTCAATTCCTTTATCAATTGAAATTCAATCATCAACTTAGCAAACTTTCTCCATACTCTCTACCACATCCAAACCATTCGACCAAGGTAAGAAAAAGGAAAGGAAAACTGAAATCTCACCTTAAAAGAATGAAGAACAAACTCCGGAGTCACCAATCCTCGGTAGTTCGATCGATTCCCGCTTAAAACTTGCTTTTCTTCACTTTTGGTAATTTTCTTTTCTTCTCTCTCTCTCAGTGAACACTCACTGGTTTTGGCATAAAAAAGAGGGTGTTTAATTATTTTTTTACACTTAAACACGTTGGAGGAAGAAAAGGAGGGGTCTAAATGCAATTTCCTAACTTTTGGGATCTTTTTGCAAAAGTCCACCAAAAGTATCTCTTCTTCGCTTCTTGTGCAAGCTTGGCCGGCCACCTCACTAAATAAATGGCATGATCTTAGCCCTCCATCCAAAAAGTCACTTTAAATCTCAACCATCCATATGCGTTTTATTTGCGTTTTTCAGACAGTTGGTCAAACCTTACCTAACTTTTCAAGAGTGACTAATTGATCGACTCTTTGTCAATAAATTTTGACTTGGTGAACCTTAATCGGTTAGCAATTTCAATTTTCTTCCGGACCAATTTTTCGTTCGTTTTTTGTTCTGATTATTTCTAAAACCCTAGGATTGATGTTTTTCAATTCTTTTTCGCTTCCTAACC